TTTCTTTTGTCCCTGAGACCTTTAGCTAGATGGTTTTAACATCCTTTTAGATAGACAACAAGCGTGGATCCCGTCGAGTACGACGGACGTGAGGGGTGCTCATACCTTCCCCTTGCGTAACCGACTCCCGAACTCGAGATTTGGTTGCGATGACCGATCTTATCCCTTTTTCGCAGGGTTTTCTCTGATCATTTCCTTTCCCTCTTTTGGGATAAATAACAAACGGTGGCGACTCTTCTGTCTTTGCCGGCCTCCTTTTTCGCAGTAGCGACAAACGCAAGCACTCCTGAAAGTGGACCATGCAAAATACTTTCTGTATGAGTCAACCGGAACAAGTTTGAGTCGACTCAAAGACACAAAATATGCAAAAATGCATATTTCATGCATAATGCTACTTTTGAGATACTCCACCATATAGTAATCTAGACATACTTGACCAAACCTATATGAAGCATATATTGAACAATTTCTATATGTATCAAAAATGTTTTTGACCGATGTTTGACTCAAGAGGGATAAGGTATCCATATGTGACACAATGATACAGTCCAAAGTACATTTTTCTACCTATCTAAGTTTTGACATCATTAAAAAAAGTGTAGCTAACTATAAGGATTGCCCTCATATTCTGCGTCTAGACCTAGAAGATCTTCTTATTTTGTGTGTCGTCACAAAGGATGCTGAAGAGGTGAGCGCTTCTAAAGTCATCTGCTTGCCAGTAGATCCTTTAGCTGCTGGTTTTGCTTTCATTTACCTGAGTTGTTGCATTCAGTATGGCTGTCTTTTTGAAATATCCCTTTGGAACCAAGATTTATTTCTGTTTATACATCTTGTTGTTATGAGGATTAAGTGGTTATAAAAGTAAGTCTGCTATGAGTCCTTATATAGACGTGTTACATATATTGTTCCAAGTATTTGTTATTTTAATATTGATTAAGTTTAATCAATCCCTTAAATGATAAATCTTGAAAATATTATTTAACAGTCTGACCTATTAAAGATTCTTTAAAACTATGAATGTTATAGTTAATATGTTTAACTGTTACTTCTGGTTTCAGTTTAACTTCATTTATGTTTATCAGAAAATCAAAAGGGAAATTATTGAGAGTATTTGCATGTAATAAAAAAATTGGTCAAAAGTACTATTTCATTGATTAAAGTAGAAGGATTACAAAATGTTTTTCATAGGGAATTGTATGATCTTAGAATAGATATCTAATTAAGTCATCCTAAGCCTTATGATAATAATAGTTGTCATAATCTATATCTAGTTCATCCTCATCAGCTTCTTCCTCTTCTACATCTGGGATTAAACGACAAAACATCTTATTGAACTGTATTTTTCTCTTTGACCTCTTCATATTATTCCTTCTTGGCTTCATCGAAACTTTTGATGGACCTACCCTTGTAGATTGTTTTGGAACTGCTGACGTAACATCGTAAGAAGTAAGCTTTGCAGAGGGCACATGCTCAGTGTTGGATGACTCAGAAATAACTCGTTTCTATAGGTTCTAGACACTTTGTCTTGTATAGCTCTCAGATATTTCTATCACAACAGAATTCTTATGACTCTTAATTGATGACTCCATGACTTTGGTAGATGTTGATGAAAATGAACTAAGTTTTGATTGCTTTTATAATGACTTATGAGTAACCTAAACGACTGATTTAAATCTTTGCTTGATTCTTGGAACATTAACGACCACTAAAAATTTAAAGCATGCACTATACAATCCTTAATGACCCTTGTTACTTGATCTTTTTTAATTTCTTGGAAACTGATCATGTAATGATGACCTGTGATGCATTTATGATTGTAATTCTTTTCTTCTTCTTTTTTGATTTCTTTTCAATGTGACAAAAGGGGGAGAAATCATGGTAAGTACTTAATTAGAAACTGAATCCAATGAGTACCTATTCAGTTGTACATATTGGTCATTTATAATTTTGTTATTTAAATTTTTGTTATTATGGTTATCTTGCCTGGGCGATGCATTTAAACTTTTTTGTACATAGAACTAATGGGAGCTTACAAACCTCAGCCTTAGCCTATCAAACTCAGAAGGAGCTTACAAACCTTGTATTCTGATGTTGCCAAATGAAGTTAAAATATTATTTTTAGTTTTATTAAATATGGAACTAAGAGGGAGCTTACAAACTTCAACCTTGAAACTGTTTGACTCAGGGGGAACTTACAAACCTCAGACTCTGATGTTACCAAGAAAACTGAATTACTTTTTCTTGAAGTAGTACTTGGTATGGGTCTACAGAACTCAACTTTGGACTATTAGACTTAGGGGGAGCTTACAAACCTCATACCCTGATGTTGTAGAGAAAATTATAATTGCCCAACACTGTCCTTTAAATACTTATGTTTGTCATCATAAAATTATTGAAAAACACAATAGTTTATTTGATGTGTGTTACATGTGTGCAGGTTCTAATACTTGTAATTATTATAGTCAGAATCTGTTTTACATCAACACACTTGGGAGTTGCTGAATTGCTAGCTTCTGGTGGCTGAATATGAAGAACACATGCTAAGTGATGTTTGACATAGACTCTGAAGATGAAGGTCTCGACATCGGAAGAAGCAATATAATTGTCTCTACACTTAGTGAATGTAAATTGGCTTCTAGTACCATTCAGAGTTGGTGATAAAGCTGATGTTGTATGTATTGTAGAAAGCAAGTTGTTTTGTCAAATCAGTTTGTCAGCTAAAGTCTACAGATTGTAAGGCTCAAGAAAGGTTGACATGCTTTACAAATATCTAATCTCAACGAATCTAATAGTACAGTATCTCTTGAAGGCTTAAAGGTTAAACATGTTACACATTAGATCAAGATCTTCTGGTGTATCTATCTTCAACGTCGCTTATAATAAGACTCTTGATCAAGTTACCTCTTCAACGACTAGTTTCTGCAAAGGCTATATATATATATATATATATATATATATATATATATATATATATATATATATATATATATATATATATATATATATATATATATATATATATATATATATATATATATATATATATATATATATGGTTAAAGGTTCAAAGTGAATCTTTAACAAGGATTATTCAGAAGGAGGAGTAACAAGATCAACAATTATCAACACTATTGTATATGCATATTTTCTGTTGTATGTTGTAATTGTAAAAACCTTAAGATTTCTTATACATTGAATATCTTAGAAATCTTAAGTGCTTTAGGTATTTGTTATGGTGATTTACCATACCCCTAATACTTGTATCAAGTATACCTTGTTCTTTATTCTGCTGCACTTGTTTAATAGTTTAGATCAAAGTCTCTTGTTATGTGCTTGAGCAAAAGTGTTAAGTCATTGGGACTTAATCAAGGAAGTCTCGAGTAAAGATGCTTGAGCCATGTAAGTCTCTTGCTATGTGCTTGAGCAATACAAGTCTTAATCAACTAGGTTGATTGAGCAGAAGTCTTAAGTCATTGGGACTTAAGCAAGGAAGTCTCGAGCCAGGATGCTTGAGCCACATAAGTCTCTTACTATGTGTTTGAGCTGTGAAAGTCTTAATCAAATGGATTGATTAAGCATGAAATTCTTAGGTTGCAGTTCAAGCAGGACAGTCTCGGCCAGAGTGGCTTGGAGCATAAGTTTTAACTAGAGTGGCTTGAAGTATAAGTCTCAGCCATAGTGGCCTGGAGCAGAAGTCTCAGCCATAGTGACTTAGAGCAGAAGTCTTAACCATAGTGGCTTGAAGCAGAAGTCTTAGCCAGAGTGGCTTGGAGCAGAAGTCTCCTCTAGAGTGGCTTGAAGCAGAAGTCTCAGTTAGAGCGAATTATAGCAGAAGTCTCAAGCAGAGTGGCTTGGAGCAGAAATCTTGGGTATGAAGGACTTGAGCAGAAATCTTGGGCTGGGGGTCTAAGCAAGGAAGTCGTGGGTTCGTGGAACCTAAGTAAGAAGTCTCGAGTGAGGAGCTTGAGCAAGAAGTCTTGGACCTTGGGTCTTAGCAAATGTAAAAATCTTATGCAAAATGCATAAGCGATTGTAATCATGATTTAATTATAGTGAAAATCTCTTGTGAAACAAGGAGACAAGACTACTCTCAGTTTAAGAGAAACTAATATAAATCTTTGTGTCTTCTGTTATTATTTATTTGCTTATGTTAACATTCAGCTGTTAAGAATGAATCAGAATCTAAATACCAATTTAAATTTTAAACTCAATTCAAATGCAAACTAAGAAAACGAAAAACACAATTCAACCCCTCTTCTTATGTGTTTTTCTCACCTTCACTCAAACACTTTCAATTGAATTCTTTTTACTTTTAATTTTATTAAAAATCCTTAGCTATGAACATTATTTAAATAATTTAAATATAAAAACCCTATTGTTTTTTATAAAAATTACTAATGAACATTCTAAAAACCCCTTTTAAAGATTTAAATAACAATTTTTTATTAAAATATATATATTCTACACATTTAAAATGGAATATTTCAATTTTTTAATACATATTTATTTATTTTAAATATTTAAAGAGTGTTTTTATAGATATAGTTACCCGGACACATTTTCTAATAGCTTCTCTCTCTTGCTTAATCTCACCTTTTGTGGTGAAGTTTGAAAGAAGGATTATAGAGTATACTTTTCCTTAAAGTCAACGCCATTAGCGTGTTCCAAACACAGGTTACTTACATGAAGTTGCAGGCTACCCCACCACATTTGCCACGAACATCACTACGACGTCGTATTCCCATTCAACTCACACTTCTCAAACCGTGGACTTCAAACGACCCTCTCCATTCCAATTCATAATATCTTCAAATCCGCGTCTGCTCCACTTTCTAAACTTCAAAAAGTAAAAAAAAAAACACTACTAAGAGCTAAACGACGTCGTTTCCATCCATTCCCTTGTTTTGAAAGATGAAATCCTAAAATGTGAAAGTCAAGTCCCTCGTTTCATTTCATTCATTTTCTTTCTCTCCCTTTTCAGTTTCTTAGAACAGAAAAAAATGGCCGTAGCTGAACCCAAGCCTCACTCCGAACCTAAGGTCTGGAATTTCTTCAAACTTCCTTTTCGCCATTCCAGTGCAAATTCTTCCACCGGAACGACGTCGTCTTCTCCTAACCTTCATCATCCTCATCATCAACATCACCATAACCCTAACAGTAACGCGCACAATCCTCCTCCTGTTGAAGGTTCCACTTCTCAATCTTCCAATTCTGTTTCTTCCGTTGCCAGATCGCTTCTCCCAACACGACGTCGTCTCAAGCTTGATCCTTCCAACAAGCTTTACTTCCCTTGTATGTTTCGTCTCTTTCTTCACTTTCCACTTTTTTTTTTGCATCTTAATTTTTATATCTCATGTAGATATTTTCATGTTTGCGTTTTCCTCTGCATGCAATTTAATAATTAGTAATTAATAATTTGATCGTGATCTGTTTTGGTCTATTAACTGATGTTAATTTCAGTTTAATTATGAGGTGGGGGTATTAGTTATTAAACGATCCAAAACTAGAAATTTTTAGTTTGGTTTAAAATTCTTGCGTGTTTCTTTCAACATGGCTTAAAAATAATGGTTGTTTGGGTTGGGAATCAGGAATTGTTTCTTTCCGAAAATGGGAAAATTCCAAAGACTCTCTAACTTGAATTTTTCGGTTATAAGATTGTGTTTTAAGTACGAGGCTTGGTCTAATATGTACAAGTAAAATAGTTTTGCATCATGCACAAGTGTGTTTTTCACGGTTGAATCAATAAGTTCTGTAGTATCTCATTTGATTCAATGGTGTGGGATTTATTAATTCGAATGGTGGAAACTAACTTGTGCATGATGCAATATTTATCTTACTTGTGCGCTATAGAACTAGCTTGAGAACTAAGATAAAAGAATTCAATGTTGTTATATAATTTTTGTTAGATGGTTCTTCTTTTTTCAGTTATAGTTGTTGTCCTTTTTGTTGAAGTGAGTTGTGGAAAATAGATGTGATGAAGGGAAAGAATGCATAACCTTTAATTTTAGTTCTGGGGCAAGTTTTGTATTTTGAAATATTAATTGTGTAGTTCTATGGTTCTGGGAGAAAATAGTTTCAGAGAATCATTTTCCCCTGTCTGCAAAAGCATAAGTGAATTTCTGATAAAACTAGATTATTTGGAATATTAACTGTGTAGTTCTATAGTAGAATATGGTTTGTTTATTTGTTGCTATGTTTCTGCCTTTCTGTAAAGCCGTTAAATTGGAATTGAAGCAATAATGCCTTACCATGCACATAATAGAAATTAGAAGTTACTATGGATTGTTTTTAAGTTATTGAACAGTTGTCTGTCTTGAAAATGATATATACGTGGAAGATTTTGTATAAGATTTAAGTTAATTCATCACTTCTTTCCTTACTGTCATGTGTAGATGAGCCAGGAAGACAAGTTAGGAGTGCTGTCAGGATTAAAAACACGAGTAAATCTAATGTAGCTTTCAAGGTATAGTGAAACATGTTCACCTGTTTATTTACCCCTATGTGGCTTTCAAGATTTAGTGAAACATGTTCATCACCTATTCATTTATTCCCTTGTATTATACATTCCTTTTTCTTCATTTTTAATTTTTGTTGTTGAGGTATTTTGATCGAGTATTGAACTCAACTGTCTAATCTTACTTTTACTATGTCACTGTTTTGAAGAGAATTATTCTGTTATTTTTGTATAATTTTATGTGTCTTCCTATATTCTAAATTGGGTCTGGAATTTAACCATATGTTCTGAGATTTTTCTTTGATTTTCTTAGTTTCAAACAACTGCATTGAAAAGTTGTTTCATGCGTCCGCCTGGGGCTATCCTTCTCACTGTTTTGAAGATAATTATTTTGTTATTTTTGTATAATTTTATGAGTCTTCTTATATTCTAAATTAGGTCTGGAATTTAACCATCTGTTCTGAGATTTTTCTTTGATTTTCATAGTTTCAAACAACTGCACCGAAAAGTTGTTTCATGCGTCCACCTGGGGCTATCCTTGCACCTGGCGAGAGTATCATAGCAACGGGTAGGCAATAGTCGATTTCTCTATATATTCCTTTTTGTGTGTGACCAACCAAAGCTCTAGTATATTTAATACAAGATTTAATCATCTTTCTAATCTGTATGATGTTTACTAGTGTTCAAGTTTGTAGAGCAACCAGAAAATAATGAAAAGCCCGAAAAAAGTGGACTCAAATTTAAAATCATGAGTTTGAAGGTCAAAGGTTCAATTGACTACGTCCCTGAGCTGGTCAGTTAATGTTATTTTGCTATAATTTTTTCTTTTTTTCAAAAAATAAGACAGTTGTCTTGCCTGCATTCTCTTTTGAGTCTTTTCAAGTACCCCTTCCTCTTTCAACATGAGCATCCAGCCATCATGTGACTGGATATATTCTTGGGTTACCTATCTCTCTCTCACACACAAACACAAGCACTATTATGGGTTCTAAGGTTGGTTTGGTTGTTGTGGTGGAGCTGTTTAGCAGTTAAGTGATAAGGAGGTTGAGGGTTCGATATCTACCCACTACATAATACTAATATTTTACCATTTTCTAAAGACACACTGCTATTAATACCACTGCATTGAATTGTTTGTTTCTTGGTTTTTCTTATAATTGACCTAAAAATTAAAATGAGGTATATTCTTATTTGGTTATTATAAATTACTCTACTCATATAGATTTCTTTTCCAAACCATTGGAAGTTATAGCCTTTTAATAAACTTATGTACTTACCACATGAGAACTGGATATTTTTTATTAGGATTATCAATGAGAAGGTTCACTTTCTTTTGGATTAAGATGATTAATAATACTCTCTGTCCTTTGCATTACAAAATATTCCCACTATTAACCTTTTTTGTTTGTGTTTCTGTTGTATATTCTTGGTTTTACTTTTTAATCCAGCCACTCTAACTGTCTTCAATTTGCCCCTTGAAACACAGTTTGATGAGCAGAAGGACCAGGTAGCAGTTGAGCAAATTCTGCGTGTTGTTTTTCTAGATCCAGAGCGCCCTAGTCCTGTGAGTACGGATATCTTCAGTGTATTGCTTGTATTTGAGCCAATTTTTGTGGTTCTTACAAGAGTTATTTTTTCTCTCAATTCTTACTGTGGTTGAGGCATTCAGTATCGGCTATTTCTGTTTTTCTGTTTCTAAGCTGTCTGTACTCTGATATAGCACATTAATCGATCGTGTATTACTTATAAGGTTCTTTTTTCTCAATTAAGATTTTGGAAAAATTAAAGCGACAGCTGGCCGATGCTGATGCTGCCCTTGAAGCACGGAAGAAACCTGCCGAAGACGTGGGTCCTAAAATAATTGGAGAAGGGCTTGTCATAGACGAATGGGTACATATACTTAAATTTCGATAAATGTATTCTTTGCTATACTTACTTTTCAAATGCATGATTTATAATATAACAAATCCTTGATATGTTTTTCAGAAAGAGAGGAGGGAAAGATACCTTGCTAAGCAGCAGGGCGATGTGGTTGTAGATTCTGTATAGACTGTTGGTCTGGATCAACTAATGTTTGTGTTATCTTGAGAGAAGATTATTAAAATCACAGCGTCTTTTTCTTGGAAAAGTTTCAGGTGAATGGCAAGTGTGTACTATAGAGAAAGCTATGTGTGGGGTGTGTTGATCATCCTCTATGTAGATAAATGTCATTATGTTTGTGGAATAATATATTTTGATAGATTTATGTCAAATGATCAGAGAATGATTTGCTGTCAATTTATTTTGCCATGGTTCAATTTGTATTGCAGTTAGTCGACATTCTACATAAAAAAAAAATTGAATTTAACTGTAAATTTGGTTACACATTTTAAGGAATATGTTGACATTGGTTTATCCTATGAGCAGTATTTATAAGTAAAGAAGATGAAACCGGATCCTTATTTGTTTGAATATCGACCTGAACGATTGCTATATTAACTTTGTGAGAAACATTTTCACTTAATGTATAGATAGATTGTGCTCCTTTCTTTGTCTGCACTATTCAATCCATCCATTTAATCATTTAATTTATACATAATATGTAGATAAGTCGTTATATATTTATAAATCAATAAATTTAAGGAAAAAACATTTGTTTAGTCCCTTTTGCACCTAAACAGCATTTTAATGGGACAGGATTGTGATACTTTGGTTAACAAAATAAGTAAAATATCACTTCTTATATATATACACAAACAAAAATGTACTATAAAAGTTTTATTTTGGAGATGTAATTCTGAAACAAATTTAAGAAAAATATTATAATTGTCTAGTTCAGTGATAATTTTGGAGATGTATCTTTGAATTTTTTTATCACTTTTGCATGTTAGGTACTTTAAGAGATGTATCTCTGAAGATATCTGATATAACTTCCAGTTGTATGATCAATCCTCTATTGTTGTCATACTTCATTCTCACCTAAACCCTCACGTTAAAAACCCTTCATTCACAATACATTTTTGCACTCCAAATCTCTATCCTTTTGGTTCATCATATCACATGGAGTAAATGAAGATTGAATTCCAGGTAATGATTCTTCTTTTACCTATGCAATGCTAACATTAATTATTCATTTTTGCTGGAAAAAACTTATGCTATGTCCAAAAATGTATCTTTGGAACGTGTATGAACTTGTTCGGAGATGCATTTTCGGATGTGTTTATTTTTCGACCCTTCTACAGCAGTAGATGAACTAATATTTGATGCGTATCTAATCCGCAAGTGTACGAAGTCGATCGTAGTTTTAAAAGATATCGAACCCACATGGACTAATAATCAATCTTACCGCTATCTATTAATGCTATGTAAATATAAGATTATGAATAAATCGATCAGGGAGAAACTAAAACTAGAATTGAGAGTAAAAGAAAATTTAGGGAATCTATCAAATAAGAGAGACTGTAATGTGAGTTCCAGTGGACCCTAGGGACTCAATAATTCATTGGTGTAGTTATGTGTTAAATTACTTTTCAGCACAAAAAATCACTTTAAAAACCTTTGTCTCGCACTGTCGTGTTATTGACTCGTGTTATATTTCGAGACCATAAATGTTTTGTTGTCGCTCACCCATTTGAGTCGCGAAATACTCTTTGAAAACCAACAGATCTTAATTAATCTTAAAGAGTTGTCGCAGTGTTTAGGATTAATGTTCAATTTTTACTATCTGACACGAGTCTCACACTGTCGCACTATTGGCTCGAACCTTAATGTTTTCACTATCGTGCAAAACTCTTTTAGATTTAGAATTAAAAATCTAAATCAGAAAAACAATTTATAATAGGTTATGCCAAATCATTACCAAGTCCCGTCGAAACAACGATCCTCACATACCGGACTCAATGAATTTAACCGGACATAATGTACAAACAACTCATGTTATCAAAGTTAAACATATAACTCATAAAAATTATAGATATACTAATTAAGAAATTTATATTCGGATTCAACAATAAAAGCACGCAAACACGATAATAATAATAATAATAATGTATAAAGACTTACGAGAATAAAAAGAATGCGGAAAGTAAATGCGAAGACTTGAATAAAAAAGGAAAACTTCTCGTAAATTAATGATGACAAGCTTAACGATCCAAGCGATACATATTCTTTAGCATTCAAGTGCACTAACCCTTCGATGTGAACGATTAGTGCTTGTAAAGTGTAAATATATGCCTAAATAAAATGACTAGCAAAACTTGGATGAAAAATTCCTAAAAACAAAGTCTTATATAGTGGAATGTGTGTAAATTGAATGAAATCTTGTGGCCTGGAAGTTAAGGAAGTCGCTGGATGAGTTAGAGAGGTTTTAGGAAGAGCAGTTGTTAATTCCTTGGGGGCGAGGGGCATGGCGAACGCCGCCTGCATGAAAGTAGGAAGACCTGGTCGTTGGTGCCCATGGTGAACTCCAGATGCCATGGCGAATACCATGAGACCATGTTGCACCTTCAATGGGCTTTGACTTGTGATTCTTAGACTTTTCCTCATCTTTTGATCATTTTTGGCCCTTTTTCTCTTGCACCATCCTCAACCTATCTCATACCTATAACATACGAATAAAATACACGTAACACCATATAAAAGTATAAAACAAATATAAAACAGACAAAATATGCATATGAATCGAGTAAAAAACTATGTAAATTTTGGTGTTATAAAACTCTTCTATACTTGAACCTTTGATTTTCCTCAAGCAAAATGCTGCACATATGAAAAGAATTTGAAAAACTTGCAGCAGACAATATCAAGACTCATGAAAAAAAATACATACGGATACTCATTCTAGGCTACAAACTCCACTTCGGCTAAGATTGTGTAGATAAGTACTCGCTTACACACTAAGGATATCGTAGGAACACAATTATGCGGTTATGCGGTCTCAAGCCTCCCAGCTATACAAACCAATATGAATCATGTCATTATGCCTAAGCCTAGTTCATCCATCCCCTTATTAAACTAACAATATATTTATTCTATTTATAATATATTAAATCTAAAGCGCGCAACATCGTGTGAACACTTCATCTCTCTTTGTGCCACATCACGCATAATCCCATGTGGTTGTTCGCCGTGAAAATTGGTGAACAACCGCCGGTTTTCCAAATCGAAAAAGATTTATTTTACTTGCAGGATCGACCACACAAATCCTAGGACATGTGTTAATTGATCTTAAATAAAGTTTAGGAAAACGATGAACACTTCGACAAAATTCATGATAAAATAACTTATTTCAAATGTAAATGGAATTGAACAAGAATGATTCAAGTCGAAAGGCTGGTAAAAAATTTAGAAAGTAACTTGCATAAAGAAAGGATAAATTCTTAATAATTCTGCGGTTATGCGGTCCCAAATCTCCATACTATACAAACCAATATGAATCATGTCATTATGCCTAAGCCTAGTTCATTCATCCCCTTATTAAACTAACAATCTATTTATTCTATTTATAATATATTAAATCTGAAGCGTGCAACATCGTGTGAACACTTCATCTCTCTTTGTACCACATCCCCCATAATCCCATGTGGCTGTTCGTCGTGAAAATTTGTGAACAACCATTGGTTTTCCAAATTGAAAAAGATTTATTTTACTTGCAGGATCGACCACACAAATCCTAATACATGTGCTAATTAATCTTAAATAAAGTTTAAAAAAACGATGAACACTTCGACAAAGTTCATGATAAAATAACTTATTTCAAATGTAAATGGAATTGAACAAGAAAGATTCAAGTCGAAAGACTGGTAAAAAATTTAGAAAGTAACTTGCATAAAGAAATGATAAATTCTTAATGAAAAAGATTTATTGAATTGCATTGAAATGTAAAAAATGGTGTTACATCAACGTACATTCTCACAAACTCGTTTCTCTACACACGGGTACTTGAAGTATATTGAAGAATGTGTACACAATTGAACACACACAAATCCTAACACTAAGACTTGCTATTTACGCTAATCGAAAATAACTGTCATTAACGGCTAACGAACTAAGTCGAGACAAGTGGCACTCTGCATGTCTTCGATTCCTAAAAGCGTTCCACGTGTCTTCTTTGAGAAATGGATAAGAACGACATTTCTCTTCTTTATTTGAATTCAAATATTTCTGTGAAAATGCCTTCAGTAGAACCTCTGTCGAATCGAATCTTCCAACTGCTAAAAAATATTTCTAAGTCCGTAAAATAGTTTCTTCTGGAAAAAGGACGCCTTCGACTCACATTCCAAACATATGGCTCTGGTCGAAGTCCTCTGATTTTCCAAGAAATTCTATTACTTTCTTCTAATCCAATTTAGGCGTCTAAATTTAGAGCCAACAAATTGCCCCCTAAAAATGTCATTTTCGACATCACTGAAGAAAAAGGCATTTTTTGGTAATGTCATCTGACGCCTCAAACGAATTTTGCATGCTTTTGATATCTATTACTATTTCAAAAAACCCATGACGTCATGATCATCATAGAAGTTTCTGAAACATCTCATTAAAGTACGCCACAATCTCTAGCCATCATCACATTTCCTAGACTATAGGAAATCGTGCACTAGGCATTAACTGCCCACGTTCCATCAAACGACTCTGGTGGAACATGTGTCCCACTAACCATCAACTCTTTAATGCTAATTTGAAGTCCTTTGAACTCCAACGAGCTTATAAATTGCTCTAAACTCAGCAATTTTAACTTTTACACTCCCCAAAAATCTTAAAGCATTTTTCTTCTCTCTTCACTTTCAAAACCTTAAAAAAATACCCAGATTTTCTTCAAACCTCAACAATGGCGTCTTCAATCACCAACATCAAAGACTCCAAGAAAGGCCACAAATCAAAAGACCTGAAGAAGATCTCTCAGCTTCTTCCCTTTAACACACTATTAGCGCCAAAGATTGTGGAAAATCAGCAGTTCATCCTTGAGCCGCTTGAAGAAGAAAAGAGGAAGATATATGAATCTCAGGTACTTATTCCGGTTACTGTTTACGGTAAAATACATGCACTATGCGGTCCTTTACCTGCTCTTAGTT